CGCAACATTATTTTTATTTTCGGAATAAAATGACTATTAGCTATACTCGCGCTTTGAAAGATGTGCTCTGGGCTTTGGAAAGGATGCAGGAAATGGTTGATCTTGTAAAAAGTGGGTCAAGAGAAAGGTTATGTGTCCGGGAGGAACACGCTCCTTTTCTTGTTTCTCGCTTTCGCAACTTCGACTACTACATCACTAACCAAAACCCGAAGAACCTTGCCCATTTCACGAGATTATTCCCATGTGAGTTTCAAGACTTATTCGAGCGCTTGGGACCATACTTGCGGCATGAACCATTCCATGTTGCACCTATCATGGCCAGCGCAGACTATCTTTTTGAGGTATGAGTTCCATATGATTTTGACTACGTTTTGCTATAATTCTAACTACCGCATGAGATAGATTTGTTGAACACGGCTTGCTCATGGCTCACTTGCCGAGGATTTGAACATAGGGAGGCAGACCGTATCGGATATAGTGTCTGAAGTAACAGATGCAATAAATACTGGTACTTCCATTTTAATCCGCTTTATCATTGCTGTCATAATCCCATGTTAGTTCTATTCGCCGAAGCTTTCCCACCGCTAAACAGAGATACGTTTGGCTCCATGAAAACTCAGCAGAGATACGATTACTCTCGTGCTGCGGGTTTTATGGACGGGAAGTTGTTGGAGTTAAAGTTGCTTATCACTTATATTGAAGTTGTCAATTTCATTCCAGGCATACTTCTTGTTCAGAAGCCTAGAAATGTCGGCAGTACGTACTGGAACTATAAAGGATTTCACTCAGTAATCCTTTTAGCTGTACGTGATTGTGACCACGGTTTATGGCCTTTGATATTGGCGCACCAGGACGAGCTGGAGATGCTGGAGTTATTAGAAACTCCAATATACGTGTACGGCCGTCCATAATTTATCTTTTTCTGTACTACATCTTCTTTTCAAGACCTTCCTCGAAGGACGTGATGAGCTGTTTCCTGAAAGAGCTTCGCTAGACACGGTTGGAGCGGTCCAATACAACGTATCTGTGG